CCGCTCCGTCATCCCGTCGCGTCATCCCTCCCCGCCTCTATCCTCAACGGCAACCTGTGAGGGCACCTTGCAAGTCGTCGCTGTGTGGTCGTCGCGTCGTCGCTGCAGCCCGCAAAACAATCTGTTGGAAGTGCCATTATGAGTTCACCTGTCATGTCTTCCATCCCAAGTCCACAGTTTTGTACACCCCGCCATTCACGGCATTGGTGGCAGCCTGGATCTCTGCAAGTCGCGATTGCATCGGAATCGACTGCCGGCCTGCTCGCCGCATCCGCTGCCGAGGTCGCGGGCCTAGGACCCCCGCAACACCTTGGCATGCATGGCATCCGCCCCGATTCCCGGCCCCTTGCCATCACCCCACAAAAAAACCCAGCCAGCGATCGGAGTGAGGGTCGGAGTGAAGAGGATGGGAGTGAGGATCGAAATGAGGATCGAAGTTCTTCGGAAGGCAGGGTGAGGATCGGAGTGAGGATCGAAGGAGGATCAGAGTGAGGATCGGAGTGCGGGTCGAACGAGGATCGGAGTGAGGATCGGAGTGAGGCTAGCTGGGGGTAGCCGTCCCCGCGCCGTCGTCCCGCGTTGTCGTGTCCGCATCCGGCCCGCCTCGTCGTCGCCGCGCCGTCGTCTCCGTGCTGCCGTGCCCGCGTCATCGACGCCGACGTCGTAATCGCCAGCACCTGGCCGCCGTCGTCTCCGTGCCCACGAAGCCGTCGCGCCGTCGTCCGCGCGCCGTCGTCCAAGTGTCGGCGCGGCGTCGTCACCGCGCCATCGTCCCCGCACCGTCGTCTCCGCGCCTCTCCTGGATCCTCACCCCTATCCTCACCTCTATCCTCACCCCATGTCGTCGCCCGTCGTCCTCCGTCCTCGCCTCTCTACGCTCACCTCGCTCCGCTATCCTCAGCCCAGTCATCGCTGCCCGTCGTCGCCACGTCGTCGCCGCGCAGTCGTCGCCGTGCCGTCGTCGCGTCGTCGTTGCCGGTTCGTCGGCTCCGTCGTCGTGGTCGTCGTCGCGTCGTCACGTCGTCGCTTCATCGTTCCTGCCCGTTGTCGCCGCATCGTCGCCGCGCCGCCGCCCCTGCTTGTCGCTGCCACGCCCACGCGTCTTCGTCGTCCCCGCGTCGTGCCGGGTCGAGCCTGCATCGTCGCCGCCTCGTCGCCTCGTCGTCGCCGTCGTCACTTCGTTGTCGACGAGTCGCCGTCGAGCTGTCGTGTCATAGCCCCGTCGTCGCCGCCGCGTTTCCCGCGTCGTCGCCGCCCCGCTGCCTAGTCTCCGCGCCGTCATCGTTTCATCGCGCCGTCATCGGGCCGTCGCGTCGCTCTTCGGTGCGCCGCGGTGCACCTTCGTCGTCGCCGCGCCGGTCTTTGGTGCATCCCGGTGCACCGTCGTGGCGACGGTGCAGCCCGGCGCAGCACCGTCATCGCCGCAGCCGTCATCGCCCCTTAATTCGGTGAGTCGTCGGACCAGTCGTCGTCGCCGTTCGCCCGTTGTCGCCGCGGTCGTCATCATCGCCGCCGTCGTCGTCGTCGCATCGTCACCGCCCTGCGTCCCGCGTCGCCGGATGTCGCCGGCCAACATGCAGCCGCCACCGTCCGAGCCGTCGCCGTCGTTTCCACGCTGGCTCTGGGATAACATTTGTAACACGGCGCTCATTTGGGGGCGGCTCTAGGGTGACATTTGGGCCAACACGGCTCTAGCGTAGGATTTGGGGTAACATTTAATTTGCGGTAAAGCGGCTCTGGGGAACATTTCGGGTAACGCGGCTCTGGGGCAACATGGAGGCTCTGGGGTAACATATGGGGTAACACGGCTCTGGGCGTGTCTCTGGGTATCGCGACTCGGCCGTCGCCGGTGCCGTCGTGTCGTCGTCTCCACTACGTCCCCGCCGCGGTCGTCGCCACCCCGCCCGCCACACGTCGTGTCGCCGCAACATCGTGTCGCCGCAGTCGTTGTCGCCGGCCCTTCGTTGCACCCCGCCCCTGCCGTCGCCCGCTCTCGCGGCTGCCCACCGGGCCGCTCGCCCGCCGTCGTCGCGGCTCTCGCCGTCGCCGCCGTGTCATCGCGTCATCGTCGTCCGAGCCGAAGCCGACCGTCGAGCGTTCGGGCGTTGCCGCCGAGGGCCCGCTCGCCGTCGCCCGTCCTCCTCGTCGCGTGCCCCCCGGTCGCCACTCGTCGTCTGTGCGTCGCCGCGTCGTCGTCGCGTCGTCATCGCTGCGCCGTCGTCGTCGCGTCGTCGTCGCGTCGCCGCTGCGCCGTGTCGTCGCCGCATCGTCGTCGCCACTCTATCCTCACCTCTATCCTCGCCTATCCCCACCGTCGTCGTCCCTGCGTCGTCGTCGCCGCTGCCCGCGCCCGCGCCGTCGCGGCTCGGGGGGAACATAGGGCTAACATTATTTTGGGTGCATGACTCGGCTCTGCGTCGCCGTCGTCGTCGCTTCGTCGCTCATCCACCCGCTCACTCGCGGCTCGGCCACCCCTTCGTCGGTGCACCGTCGTCGCCTCTGTCGTCATTGCCGCCGTCTCGTCGTCGCAGCGTCGTGGTCGCCGCGTCGTCGCGTCGTCGCGCCGTGTCGTCGCCACATCGTCGCCGTTCCCGCATCGCCGCATCTCTCTCCTCACCTCTATCCTCACCCACGTCTTGTCGCCGTTCTCGTCGCCGTCCTCGTCGCCATCCCCCGCGCAGGATGCACCTCCGCCGTGCGGCTCGATATGTTCATCCGCCCGCAAGCACCCCAAGGTGCCCTCGCTTGGAGGCTGGAAGCTGCAGGGCCTAGCTGGAGGCTGAGGCTGGTAGGCTGGCGTGAAACTGGAGGCGTGGAAGCAGAGACTGGAGGCTGCAACCTTTGGAGACAGGAGGCAGCATTTCGGCGGCAATATTTGGGTGGCAACATTTCGGTGGCAACGTTTCGGTAACGCGGCTCTGGGTAACGCCGGCTCTGGGTAAACATTTGGGGTAACGCGGTTCTGAGCCATCGCCGCGTCTCCGTCGTCGTGTCCGTCGCGTCGTCGTCGCCGCATCGTCTCGTCTCCTCGCCGCGTCGTCGTCGTCGCTTCACCGTGTGTCGTCGAGGGGGCAGTGACCTGTGAGGGCACCCTAAGTGAGCCCGGCAGTTGCCCGTTCTCCGCTCGCCCTCGTCGCCTCCCCGTCGCTGCGCCGTCGCAGCCCGCCGCCGACTCGCGGCTCGGCCACCCGTCGCTTTAAGCCGCTCGGTCGTCGCTCGCTCATCCGTGGCGCGCCCCGCCTCCGATCTGTCGCCGTCGGAATGGAGGCCCGTACTTGGATCGTCGCTGTCGGTTATAAGTGTTTACCAGACTTGGGCGATTGCTGCTATGTGGGCCAAAGGACTTGTTATATCAAGTATATCAATTTAACAAGTGTGATAACATTACTTACTAAGTCTAGTTTGTCTGATATTTAATTATCTTTTGTTTAGGAGACATAATAACTGACGAGGGTTCTTCTATTAAGTGGCCTAAATGAATATGCCACTTAGTATTTGCCAGGAGGGAGTTATGGATAAGTGGTGTAATGGTTTTAGGTGACTTACTATAAGTAGATATAAGTAATCTCCCAGCACTTGTTAATCAGATACATCACTTACGGCAAGTCGTATAAGTGCACTTATCGTAAGTCTCGTAAGTGACTTACAGTCGATTTAGCTAGCTGTGGTCGGGTCCAGCGCTGGTTTATTTTCCACTAACTTTGCGCATGGCAACTTTATTTTTTAATAAACTTGCGCATGGCAACTTTATTTTTTGATAAACTTGCGCGTTGCAAGTTTATTTTTTAATAAACTTGCACGCGGACAATTTATTTTTCAATAAACTTTTTTGACCGGGGTGAGCACAAGCCAATAACTGCCAAGATTTACTTATAGGACTTACCCTAAGTGACTTATAAGTCAGCACGATGACTTACCAAGTGGACTTATGTAACCGACCTAGTACCACTTACATAACCCTTGTAAGTTACTTATGTGTAAGTGCTGCAAACGGATATTTCACGTCTAATCATTTATCTAAGTCGCTTAAACACTTATAAGCCAGCCCGACGATCCAAGTAGGACCCCCCAGCAACCCCGAGCCGCCGCGTCGTCGCCGCCACGCCGGCCGTCGCCGCATCGTCTTCGCGCCGTCGTCGCTTGCCCGCTCACCGCCCGCCGCTCACCGCCCGCCGTCGCTGCGCCGCCGCGTCCCCCCCGCTGCGTCGTCGTCGCTGCTCCCTCGATCTACCTCCACCTCCACCTCTATCCTCACCCTATCCTGCGTTCCTGCAGATCCAACTCCTCAAAACTTCAAAGCGGGGCCTGTTGAGGATGGCGAAGAAGCAGACCTGAGATCGGGGTTGCACAGCAGCGCATAACAAGGTGACGCCCACACCAAAAACACGCAGGCCGATACTGGTCTGAGAACCCTTTTGGAAACCGGCTTTACGTTACAAGGAAAGTTTAGCCCCAAGCTCAGCCACCCAGTCCTCCTACCAAGGTTCCAAAGCTGACGAGCTCCAAGGTTCTGACGCCGTTGGAGGCGCAGATGAGCACCCTGAAAGGAGAAAGGGTTCTTTGCCTCAAGGAGGCGAACGCTCAAGCAGCTCCCAACAGGCGGCAAACAACACACCTAACGCGCTACCGACATACAACTCTCACCGGGACACTTGCTCTTCACTCAGCGGTCCGCACTTTGAACCCGCCGCCTGCGCGAAGTCAACATCGACTGAACAAGTACGTAGGGAAGACTGGCAGCTCGGCCCTTTTTCAAGCTCTGATGCCTAGGATGTCTCAACTTTCTGTCATCAAAAGCCCTGCACTGTTGGCCCCCCTTTTTTGCACTCAAACGCTCATGCTCCCTGGATGTCTCAACTTTCTGTCATCAAATTCCTGGCCCTGCGCTGTTGGCAGGCTGTACGTCCGCCCTCTGGTGGAATGCTAGGTCTGCTGCTTCAACCTTCTATCATCAACACCGCAATCCCCCAGTCTAAGGCTTCTTGGCGGTTTCAATTGCATCAGAAGATTCCCCAGCGTTTGGGCTTCGTGTCAGTTACAAGAGCAGGTGCCATCTGCTTGAGAAGAGCGTGCACGGATGGCGACGCTGCGCAAAACCGCTCATCCGCCTTAGTGGTGGCCTTTACATAAATGCAGTGGGCGCCTCGCGCCTTCACTGCCTGTGCTAGGTCCTTGCTGGTGAAACGGCCCCCAAAGTCCTTGACCCTGACACACTGGTGAAACGGGGCGTCCGCCACACGGCGGGCCACCTCCTTCGCGGCTGCGACCTCTTTTGGCCCGAAGCCACCCTGCACATCGATGCCGAGGAAGTCCAGGATCTGCTGCTCCTGGCACATGGCAACAAGCACTGCGCAAAGACAAAGGTACAAAACAAACCCGTCCTGCTCGCCGATGGCTTCCTGCCGGACCTGCTCGAAGGTCTGGATCTTTAGGTCCTTGGCGAGCTCCTGCGAGGCTAGAAAGGCTCCGCAAAGAAGAGCACACGCACCGCGCTTAACTCCGAGGGCCTCGAGCTTGCCCACATTGCCGCCCGTGAGCTGCAAAAGGTCAGCTTTGTGCTCGACAGCCGCGTCTCCACCGTGGTGCTTGAGGAACTCCTGGACCTGGTCAAGCAGGCAAACAAAGGAACGCGCTCGGCAAAAGGCCCCCCGCCTCCTGCTGCTGGCACTCTTCCTCACTCAGCGATGCGATCTGGCACCGAACTTCCCGGGCATCCGCGTCAAAGCTCAGTGCCATGGAGGTGCTGCTCGCCAACACAATCACCTTCGCCAACTCCGCGTCGTAGCCCAACGTCTTGGCGAGGCCCGAGCAGCTGGCAAGAACTTTCATCTCACTCACCTGTCGGGGTATCTCCAAGACGACGATAGGCACTCGGCCCAGCGTCTTTGCCGCCTGCTTCAAGGCCTCCTCGACCTCCACGTGGCCGGGGGCACCCAGCTGCTGGCGCAGCCTTTCTCCTGCAGTCTCCTTGTCGCTGTCCAGCTTCACGTGGACGACGCCCTGGTGAAAGCCTGCCTCTTTGCATGCCTTGAACAAGGCGAAGCTCTTGCCGGACTGGTGATTCCCCCAGATCAGCAGGGGGGAGCGATCATGCAGGTCCAGCAAGCTGCTGATCTGGGCCTAGCACATGGAGCGTTCAAAACAAGGCACACGGCTGCTGAACACTTGCGATGCCGGGCCTGGACCTGCTCACGCGGGATCTCTACTGCGGGCTGGGCAGCGTGGAAGGAGCTGTGGATCACGCGCGCGGTCACACGAGCGCGATCTTCTGCTTCCTGCAAGTGCCTCCGTGCGCGCTCTTGGTCCTCCATGCGCGCCTGCTGCACCGTGTGCAAGAAGCCCATGGAGGTAACACATGCGGTAAAGCCGGTCGCAATGATGCCAACTCCGCCGACAGCCTTCGCTATCGGACCACCGGCTTGCACCCGAGTGAACATGGCTCGGATGCCATGCCACATCCCTGCTAGCTCACCAAACCTGTACGCTGACAGACAGAAGGAATATATAGGCCTTCGAGGGCCTGCGTTGGCTCACCAAACAAAGGCTACAAAACAACTTGGACACTCAGATTTCTGCGAAAAGAAACATGCAAGAACTGCTTGCTTGCCACTGCTTGCGAAGCACTCTCTGCCAGCCGGCGCCTGTTCCAGGAACAGCGAGAGCGCAAGGCCTCGAAAAGCGCCTACACTTGGAAATGCATCGACGGCCCTGGGCCCACACGACTGCCACACTGAAACCACAGGCCTTGTCGAAGGGGCGCAGCAAAGCTCCACACGAAATGGCTGCGGAAGAAGTCAAACAACCAGCAAGCGTAAAAAATCCAGAAGATGCCCATGGGAAATCTTAGCACTCTCGCTAAATAATCAAAATCAAGACAGCGGTTGCTTTGCAATATCTGCGGCAAGAAACAAAAATCACAACAAAATAACGGAATAAAAGAACAAACAAATTATGCTTTTAGTTGCGCTGCACCGCAAATCCACAGCAAAAAAGAACCGGGATATTTGCAGCGGATACACAAAATCCCGCCGAAACAATGGAAGAAACAAACAAAGGAAATTGGCTATAAGGTTGCACTTGCACGGCAAACCCCCTGCCAAATCCACGGTCTGGTCTTGCAACTCGTCCACGCAACTCACGTCAACGAGCTTTGAAAATGAAGGAGGACGCGATGCACTCCTGGCCGCAACGGGCCGCGCTGGTACGGCCATGCCCAGCGCTAGTTTCGCACCTGAGGAAGCCGCTCTCGAGCCGTCTTGCGCGCATCGCAGCATTGGAACATCAGCTCCGCTGCTCGCAGAGCTCGGGGTAGCTCCGGTTTCGGAATTCCTGCAGAATCTCCTGAGCGACGTCCCAATTAGCATGTTTTGCGTCCCTCATTGCCACTCCTGGCGGTTGTGAAGCTCCTGCAAACACTGCCCCAGGTTCCGAGGAGACCGCCAGGGCACCACACAGTCTCGTCGGAGGCGCGCTCGTTGGCATCCAGGCTGCGGGTGAGAGCGCAGCCACGGGCCTCGTGACAGCGCAACACGTGTCCAGGACACCCGAGACCTAGGTGATGCAACGTCGTGAACAAAGGACGGCTACCTCAGAAAGAAACAACTTAGCGACGACCGAGCGGCTTAAGGCGACGGGTGGCCGAGCCGCGAGTCGGCGGCGGGCTGCGACGGCGCAGCGACGGGGAGGCGACGAGGGCGAGCGGAGAACGGGCAACTGCCGGGCTCACTTAGGGTCCTCACAGGTCACTGCCCCCTCGACGACACACGGTGAAGCGACGACGACGACGCGGCGAGGAGACGAGACGATGCGGCGACGACGACGCGACGGACACGACGACGGAGACGTGGCGATGGCTCAGAACCGCGTTACCCCAAATGTTTACCCAGAGCCGGCGTTACCCAGAGCCGCGTTACCGAAACGTTGCCACCGAAATGTTGCCACCGAAATGTTGCCACCCAAATATTGCCGCCGAAATGCTGCCTCCTGTCTCCAACGGTTGCAGCCTCCAGTCTCTGCTTCCACGCCTCCAGTTTCACGCCAGCCTCCACCAGCCTCAGCCTCCAGCTAGGCCCTGCAGCTTCCAGCCTCCAAGCGAGGGCACCTTGGGGTGCTTGCGGGCGGATGAACATATCGAGCCGCACGGCGGAGGTGCATCCTGCGCGGGGGATGGCGACGAGGACGGCGACGAGAACGGCGACAAGACGTGGGTGAGGATAGAGGTGAGGAGAGAGATGCGGCGATGCGGGAACGGCGACGATGTGGCGACGACACGGCGCGACGACGCGACGCGACGACGCGACGACGCGGCGACCACGACGCTGCGACGACGAGACGGCGGCAATGACGACAGAGGCGACGACGGTGCACCGACGAAGGGGTGGCCGAGCCGCGAGTGAGCGGGTGGATGAGCGACGAAGCGACGACGACGGCGACGCAGAGCCGAGGCATGCACCCAAAATAATGTTAGCCCTATGTTCCCCCCGAGCCGCGACGGCGCGGGCGCGGGCAGCGGCGACGACGACGCAGGGACGACGACGGTGGGGATAGGCGAGGATAGAGGTGAGGATAGAGTGGCGACGACGATGCGGCGACGACACGGCGCAGCGGCGACGCGACGACGACGCGACGACGACGGCGCAGCGATGACGACGCGACGACGACGCGGCGACGCACAGACGACGAGTGGCGACCGGGGGGCACGCGACGAGGAGGACGGGCGACGGCGAGCGGGCCCTCGGCGGCAACGCCCGAACGCTCGACGGTCGGCTTCGGCTCGGACGACGATGACGCGATGACACGGCGGCGACGGCGAGAGCCGCGACGACGGCGGGCGAGCGGCCCGGTGGGCAGCCGCGAGAGCGGGCGACGGCAGGGGCGGGGTGCAACGAAGGGCCGGCGACAACGACTGCGGCGACACGATGCTGCGGCGACACGCACGACGTGTGGCGGGCGGGGTGGCGACGACCGCGGCGGGGACGTAGTGGAGACGACGACACGACGGCACCGGCGACGGCCGAGTCGCGATACCCAGAGACACGCCCAGAGCCGTGTTACCCCATATGTTACCCCAGAGCCTCCATGTTGCCCCAGAGCCGCGTTACCCGAAATGTTCCCCAGAGCCGCTTTACCGCAAATTAAATGTTACCCCAAATCCTACGCTAGAGCCGTGTTGGCCCAAATGTCACCCTAGAGCCGCCCCCAAATGTAACCCAGCGCCGTGTTACAAATGTTATCCGTTATCCCAGAGCCAGCTTGGAAACGACGGCGACGGCTCGGACGGTGGCGGCTGCATGTTGGCCGGCGACGCGGGACGCAGGGCGGTGACGATGCGACGACGACGATGGCGGCGATGATGACGACCGCGGCGACAACGGGCGAACGGCGACGACGACTGGTCCGACGACTCACCGAATTAAGGGGCGATGACGGCTGCGGCGATGACGGTGCTGCGCCGGGCTGCACCGTCGCCACGACGGTGCACCGGGATGCACCAAAGACCGGCGCGGCGACGACGAAGGTGCACCGCGGCGCACCGAAGAGCGACGCGACGGCCCGATGACGGCGCGATGAAACGATGACGGCGCGGAGACTAGGCAGCGGGGCGGCGACGACGCGGGAAACGCGGCGGCGACGACGGGGCTATGACACGACAGCTCGACGGCGACTCGTCGACAACGAAGTGACGACGGCGACGACGAGGCGACGAGGCGGCGACGATGCAGGCTCGACCCGGCACGACGCGGGGACGACGAAGACGCGTGGGCGTGGCAGCGACAAGCAGGGGCGGCGGCGCGGCGACGAGGCGGCGACAACGGGCAGGAACGATGAAGCGACGACGTGACGACGCGACGACGACCACGACGACGGAGCCGACGAACCGGCAACGACGACGCGACGACGGCACGGCGACGACTGCGCGGCGACGACGTGGCGACGACGGGCAGCGATGACTGGGCTGAGGATAGCGGAGCGAGGTGAGCGTAGAGAGGCGAGGACGGAGGACGACGGGCGACGACATGGGGTGAGGATAGAGGTGAGGATAGGGGTGAGGATCCAGGAGAGGCGCGGAGACGACGGTGCGGGGACGATGGCGCGGTGACGACGCCGCGCCGACACTTGGACGACGGCGCGCGGACGACGGCGCGACGGCTTCGTGGGCACGGAGACGACGGCGGCCAGGTCCTGGCGATTACGACGTCGGCGTCGATGACGCGGGCACGGCAGCACGGAGACGACGGCGCGGCGACGACGAGGCGGGCAGGATGCGGACACGACAACCCGGGACGACGGCGCGGGGACGGCTACCCCCAGCTAGCCTCACTCCGATCCTCACTCCGATCCTCGTTCGACCCGCACTCCGATCCTCACTCTGATCCTCCTTCGATCCTCACTCCGATCCTCACCCTGCCTTCCGAAGAACTTCGATCCTCATTTCGATCCTCACTCCCATCCTCTTCACTCCGACCCTCACTCCGATCGCTGGCTGGGCTTTTTTGTGGGGTGATGGCAAGGGGCCGGGAATCGGGGCGGATGCCATGCATGCCAAGGTGTTGCGGGGGTCCTAGGCCCGCGACCTCGGCAGCGGATGCGGCGAGCAGGCCGGCAGTCGATTCCGATGCAATCGCGACTTCCAGAGATCCAGGCTGCCACCAATGCCGTGAATGGCGGGGTGTACAAAACTGTGGACTTGGGATGGAAGACATGACAGGTGAACTCATAATGGCACTTCCAACAGATTGCGGGCTGCAGCGACGACGCGACGACCACACAGCCACGACTTGCAAGGTGCCCTCACAGGTTGCCGTTGAGGATAGAGGCGGGGTGGGATGACGCGACGGGATGACGGAGCGGCGACGACGGGCGAGGATACCGGTCAGGATCGAGGCGGGGACGGATAACGACGCGGCGACGACGCGACGAGGCGGCGACGCTGGCAAGTTGAAGCCCCAGCCTCGCTGCCGCACTTGCTGCAGCCCCATGCAGGCACCCTCACTGCAGCCCCAGCCAGGCTGCCGCAGTCGCTGCAGCGCAGCTCCAGCTGCACCCCCAAGCGCCAGCCTCGCTGCCGCAGTCGCTGACGCCCAGGCGCAGTGCTGCAGCCCCCAGGCCCACTGCGGCGCGTAGGCGCCCTCAGAGTTGTTGCAGCCCGGCGCTTTCTTGTACACTAGCTAGCGTATCCTCCCGCCACCTCCCTCTACACCTCCGGGGAGTACGTAGCAAGCCTAGCTTAAGCTAGCTGGCTTCACGCAGTAGCACGGACAACACGAACTTCTCTCTTTTTAGCGTTGTGGCGAAGTCCCGCGTTAGCCCGGAGAAGAACTCTAGCCTTTGGCTAGCTAATCCCGCGTTAGCCCGGAGAAGAACTCTAGCCTTTGGCTAGCTAATCTCCAGGGTGGGTTGGGTGGGCACTCGAAATTTGCCCCCCAATAGCTGGGGGCCTTTCAGCACAATGGCCACG